GTAAGTGCTACGCTAAAATCCGTAGACGTATGGGATGGCCAAGAACGCTTTCCAAAGGATGGCCAGAGTACTTCGAGACAGGAGGATATCTTTGGTAACAAATAAAAGAATACTGAGCTGTTACGTGACATCTGTCCTTCTTTGCGGAAGCGAATCTTGGACGATTTCCTCAAAGATAAAGAAGAGACTCGAAGCGAAAGAAATGTGGTTCTACAGAATGAATCTAAGGATATCATGGACTGAGCGTGTGAGTAACGAGGTGATCTTAGAGAGGTTGCAAACAAGGAGGAGGCTTATGTTTAATATTAGGAAGAGGCAACTCAAGTTTCTGGGACACATAATGAAGAAGGAAGGCCTGGAGAATTTGATACTCACGGGTCGAATAGAGGGAAAGAGAGACAAGGGAAAGCAACGCGTGACATACCTGGCGGACTTCAGGAAGTGAATGACAGAACGTTGTCCAGGGGAAGAAACAGAGAGAAGGAACTTGTTAAGAGATACAAGGAAGGTGGAGAACCTTGCTCGCCTACGTCCTAAAAAGACCTGGCACATAAAAATAAAGAACAGGACTGACCGGAAAGGGCACTTCGAAAATTATGCTGGTAGCGTAACGGCTGTCGTCGTAGAAAAACGAATCGTTCAGTATATTTCCCTTTTTTGTCCATGTCTGCTGCATGCATTATCCTCACTTGGGGATTTCTTTTACTGTTTGAATATCAAAATATACTGTTTGGGTGGGGAGCTGCCTCTCATGGTTATGAAATATAGGAATTCAGAACTTTAAATATTGATATTATTTACATTGTTCGAACTGTTGTCCTCATTTTTTATTGCTATATTCACGACGTTGCGACCGTTGTATGCTCCGGCCTTCTTTAGGTGATTAGAATTTATTATTTCGTCCATCGAAGTAGACTGTTCTAGTTCCACCTGACATGCCACTTACGGATGTCTCAGTTAACTCCCTTTAACTTAATTCTCCACGGCAGTAACTAGGTATTTAAGTCACAACAATTTTGGTTAAGTCAGTGAATCCAGCCAGCGTTTTTATCCACGGGAGTCGTTGAGGACAAGAACAATACATAAAACTGTAGATGTCAACAAAAAAACATTCAACTTCTTCCTTTATATTTGCTTTGACAATCATTATTGATTTAAAAAAACATTGCAACCAAAAACGTTTGCGGCACCTCTCTTCTCTTCTCTTTAATATACATACATTTCTCTGGTTGGAACCAATATAACCTCATTCTTTGATATATATATATATATATATATATATATATATATATATATATATATATGTGTGTGTGTGTGTGTGTGTGTGTGTGTGTATGTGTATATATTCCTCCGTTCCTTCTTAAAATAATTTTATATTTTAAACTTAATGCGAGTAATTTTTGTAATTTTTATTTTTTAAATTTATAGTAAATTTAAAAATTAATCAGAATGATTTTTAATTTAGTCTCACATCAACATTAAGACATTTATAAGTTGTATGTAAAGATCGTTGCCAAGTTTTTTTGAATTACCGTATACTTGTATATTGATTGGTCATTATAGCTTATGTAACAGTCTCTCTGTTGATGACTATATATATATATATATATATATATATATATATACATATATACAGTGTGTATCACAAAAGTGAGTACACCCCTCACATTTCTTCAAATATTTAAGTATATCTCTTCATGGGACAACACTGACAAAATGACACTTTGACACAATGAAGAGTAGCCTGTCTGCAGCATATATGACAGAGTTAATTTATTTTTCCCTCAAAATGACTCAAAATATAGCCATTAAAAGCTAAATCACTGGCAACAAAAGTGAGTACACCCCTTAGGAAAAGTTGTCAATATTAACATACAACATTTTAACTGTCAATATTTTGTGTGGCCACCATAATTATCCAAAAATGCCTTTACACTCCTGGGCATGGAGTTTACCAGAGCTTCACAGGTAGTCACTGGAATGCTCTTCCACTCCTCAATGACGACGTCGCAATGCTGGCAGATATTTGAGACTCTGCGCACCTCCACCTTCTGCTTGAGGATGGCCCAAAGATGTCCTATTGAGTTCAAGTCTGGAGACATGCTTGGCCAGTCCATCACCTTTACCCTCAGCCTCTTCAGTAAAGCAGTAGTTGTCTTGGATGTGTGCTTGTGGTCATTGTCATGCTGGAACACTGCTCTGCGACCCAGTTTCTGGAGGGAGGGGATCATGCTCTGCTGTAGTATTTCACAGTACATGTTGGAGTTCATGTTTTCCTCAATGAAATGTAACTCTCCAATACCTGCAGCACTCATGCAGCCACAGACCATGACATTCCCACCACCATGCTTGACTGTAGGCATGACACACTTATCTTTGTACTCCTCACCTGGTCGCCGCCACACATGCTTAATCGCCATCAGAACCAAACAAATCAAATTTCGTCTCATCAGACCATAGGACATGGTTCCAGTAATCTATGGGCATGTTGACATGTCTTCAGCAAACTGTTTGCGGGCTTTCTTGTGTATTGCCTTCAGAAGAGGCTTCCTCCTGGGGTGACAGCCATGCACACCAATTTGATGTAGTGTGCGGCGTATGGTCTGAACAGTAACAGGCTGAATCCCAATCTCTTTAATCTCTGCAGCAATGCTAACAGCACTCCTACGCCGATCTTTCAAAGAAAGCATTTGGATGAGACGCTCAGCACGTGCGCTCAGCTTCTTTGGACGACCTACCCGAGGCCTGTTCTGAGTGGACCCTGCTCTTTTATAATGCTGGATGATCTTAGCCACTGTGCTGCAGCTCAGTTTCAGGGTGTTGGCAATCTTCTTGTAGCCTTGGCCATCTTTATGTAGTGCAACAATACGTTTTTTAAGATCCTCAGAGAGTTCTTTGCCATGTGGTGCTATGTTGGAACTTTCAGTGACCGATAAGGGAGAGTGTTAGAGCTGCACTACAAATTTGAATACACCTGCTCCCCATGAACACATGGGCATAGTTACACTAATGAGTCACATGACATTTTGGAGGGAAAATGAAAAGCAGTACTCAATTTAGACAATTAGGGGTGTAGTTTCTTAGGGGTGTACTCACTTTTTAGGGGTGTAGTTTCTTAGGATCGTACTCAATTTTGCTGCCAGGGATTTAGCTTTTAATGGCTATATTTTGAGGGGATAACAAATTAACTCTGTTATATATGCTGCAGACAGGCTACTTTTCATTGTGTCAAAAGGTAATTTTTTCAGTGCTGTCCCATGAAGAGATATACTTGAAGAAATGTGAGGGATGTACTCACTTTTGTGATACACTATATATATATATATATATATATATATATATATATATATATGTCTAATTAAAATGCGCTTTGTGTATCCGTGGATGCAACACACAAAAAACACATTGTATACCACATTCTTATTTCTTTAATTTCTATTTTGCTTCCTTCTTTATTTTGAACAATAAAGACAGCGAGTCCGCTTTTTTTCTTTCAAAATATGAAAGGGAAACTCGAGCAGACATTAGGGAAATGTTTGACCAAAAACTATTCCCAGAGCCGGTGTTGTGTTCGCATTACATGTCTCTTCCAATGCAAGACTTCCCATATATCTAGAATTTTTGTGACCTTTATTCTTCCAACCGTAATTTGTATCCATAGCCCCCGGATATTCTGCGTAAATTTTGCCTACGACCGAATAAGCAGTCAGAGTTTTGTATGTGTTACTCCCAGAATGTGATCCCATGTCACTTTTCCGTTGTTTTCATCTTTCTTTCTTTTTTTTGTTTCAATGTCTTCCTTTTTTGTCGTTATTATCTGTAGTTTTCTCCCACAAATAGCATCCAATGCGGTCAGATCTTCCCAATCAAGGTGAGATTAATATGAAAACTATTAAATCCTTAGCTTTGTTTATTCACAATCCTATCTATTTATTTTATTTGGTTTGTTTTGTTTTACGGCATATCAACCTCAATGGGTTATTTAATGCCGACAAGATTTGTATTGCTGGTATTTTTTTTTTAAATGTATTGCTGGTAATATTTTTATTCAAAATGTATTGCTAGTGAAAAATTTTCTTCAAAGATTTATTGCTGGTAATATTTTTTTACCAAGGTTTTTCTGGTATTAAAAACTATTTTTACTCTTTCATAGTGTTTTGACCCCAGTTTAGAGATTAACTGTTTACCCATAGCAGAGATCCTAACAGGTGCTACCACCACGGGTCAGGATGGACCTGGGAACACCAGCAATTAAGAGGTGGTCCCACGCTCCTCAAAACCTCCTGATAAGAGGCCTTGCTATTGGACATAGTTTATCGTCTTACCCAGGACGCGGATGTTGTTTATCGTCATACCCAGGACGGCCCTTTCTTTTAATTTATATTTTTGATTTTTAATTTTCATCTTTTCCAATCATGTTTTTTTATTAATTTCTTTCTTACGGATTATCAACCTTTTGTAGTTTATTTAAAACCAGAAAATATTTTGGGAATTTTGCAGATAATAATGATTTATTGATACGATTCCTACGATTTAGCCCATAGCTGGGGACGGGAAGAGTTTGATTCATACATTTCTCAAGGGTCTTTGATCGTAAGTGAATATAACTAATCCGACTAAAAATGGAACTCAGTTCTCCCATTTCAAATCTTATTCATTACACCACCCGCACATCCAAGCATACAACATCTAGTATTACCCAAACGGTCACTCATCAGGTACTGACCAAGGCCGACGTTGCTTAACTTCGCTGTTCCTACAAGAACCGGTTTTTGAACGTGATATGACCGTAAACCATCATGTCAGGAGCTTTTAATTTTTTGTGAAATGATTTTTGACTGTAAACCCAATACAAGCCCCAAGTGCCACTCTAAATAGATGGGCAATTAATGGGTTTCTTATATGAACGTAAAAGGAGGAATTAAGAAGTGAATTTTATGAGGATATGTAGGATAGATAACGGTTAAACCTAGACGTTAAGATTGCAGCGATCGGAGCATATGTCAGTTTTCTCTCTCTCTCTCACTCTCTCTCTCTCTCTCTCTCTCTCTCTCTCTCTCTCTCTCTCTCTCTCTCCTTCTGAGAGGTAATTTGTTCGGATGGGAGGGGAAGATAACGGTTAATCCGCCCTAGACTTGAACAGGTTAAAATTGTAATCATCGGGGAATCGATTCTGCAGGTCAGTGGTTCACGGAAAGAAGCTATTGGAGTGGAACTTCTCGCCGATGGAATCTGGCTGGAATGTTGCGGGGGTGGGTATTAATATGTAAGTGGCATGGCGTATCATTGGCATGAAAGCTTGAACTGGCGGAACCAGGGAATGTAGTTCGCCCATACACTTTCTGTGGAAGTAGCGATATAGCAGCGAGAGATTTTCCATATACCACCCCTGAGAGAGAGAGAGAGAGAGAGAGAGAGAGAGAGAGAGAGAGAGAGATTGGAAGGTGTAAAATAATTCGTCACCCACAAGGGCTCGTGGATGTTTTTGGATTAAGGCTGGACAGCTCACACCTAAATGTGACGCCAGTACTCCATTTTAGATAGAGGATAGCATGATTAGCCACGTACTTACTGAAGCGGTACATGAAGACGACCATTTTACCTGCATTCTTAGTAATCGGCCGTACAATTTCCAGTTCTTTGCAGCTCCTTGTAAATTTTAGCTTTATACTAAGCGCTGTCCTGCCATTCATTTACACAATGTCGTTGCTTTCTTTCTTTCATTCATCAGACTTCAGATTGGGTATTTTTCTTCCTTTCTTTCTTTCTTTCTTTCTTTCTTTCTTTCTTTCTTTCTTTCTTTCTTTCTTTATTTATTTCCTTCTTTCTTTCTTTCATTCTTTCTTTCTTTCTTTCTTTCTTTCTTTCTTTCATTTCTCACTTTCGGTTTGGCGTTAAACGCAGCCGCCTAGTTTATTTCTTTTTTTTCTTTCTGTTATGGCCAAAGTGCTATTCTATCGTTTTATCTTTCTACCTGTTTTTTCTTCCTTTCTTTTTTTCCTCTTAATATTTCAGGCTATGAATTATTCTGTTCTATTTTTCTCTCTTTTCTTTCATGTTTCTAATTTTCTAGTTTTCATTCTTTCTCTCGTTTTTAAGGCACGATTTTATTCTATTTTTCTTTCTCTTTTTCTTTCCTTCTTTTCTTTTTTCATTAATTTGGTCATAGGGTTATTTTTTTCTTTTCCTTTTTCAACATTTTCAGTTAAGTGTTTTCCTACTTTTCTCTCATACTTTTAGTTCCCTATTTCTCTCACCTATTTCAATAAATGTGTTTTTCTTTATTTCCCATTTTCGCCGTATCAAAATTTTCCTTTCAATCATTTTTTATCCGTTTCACAACGTGCCATTTTCCTTTTCCTCATTTTCAAATTATATATTGCATTAATGTTTTTAAAAATCTGAAAGAATTAATACAAACAGTGATCATTTTTTTCGTAGAATTTGCCCAAAGTAAATGTATTGGTGTTTACAAAGCCACAAACGATAAACGAGAATTTGATTCCTTTAACACTGCAGCAAATATCGCTTTCACCATCAAAATGCCTCCCAGACATGATTTATCATCCAAAATGATCAAATTAATCATTTTAATTGAAAAACAGTTTGAACAAGAATAGCGTTTCTACAGTTACTCCTTCTTTTGAAAACTATAATAAAATAAAAATGATAAAGTTTGAATAAGTATCATCGCTATTACTTTACAGATAATGCATTTGCCAGTTTTTATTTAAGTAAAAAAGGGAATCTGATGGGTTTTCTAAAACTATGGATTATTTTTAAAAGTAGTAGATCCTTACTTAGGAGCTTAGAAATTGTGGGACATGAATATTATAACAATGTATATAATATTTGCTGCACTAGAAGCAATGCCAATTACACTAGAAGCGAGTTTGAAATTAAACTAAAGTTGAAGAATAATTTTAGTATGTCGATACGATACAGATACTGTGGGTGCGCGTAGGCAGAAGAGATAAGTGGCTAAGGACGAGAATTAGAAGAGCCGTGTTCGAAATCCAGTCGGGTTCGTTAAATTCATTTACAAACAAATACATTGGTAAATGTGTGAATCCATATCTTGCCAACCGACGCAATGGGTGAACACCACGTCAAAGTAAACAGTAGTTTGCTGACCATTCTAGGAGAAAGGAAAATTCTGAATTCAAACCAACCTAGAGATAGTTGGGTTCCGTCAGGATTTTGCCAAGGACAACACCACTGCTACTATGACTGCAGTACATGTGGTACACCGACGACGCGAATGTATTACGGGACTCGTGATTGTAACAGTGATACCAAGTAGTAACTGCGGCCTCAGACAATACTGGGAATGTGGATGTAGAAGTCGAAAATAAATTGTAGAAGAATTCAAGTGGCTGAACTAACAAATATGTTCAATAAGGCCCGAAAAATATAACTTCACTTGACTTAAGTCCCAGGTGAAAGAGTTTATGATTTTAGAAAATGCAACATTTAAAGAAGCAAACACTAATAATAATCGATTTAAAATTAAAAAAAAGGAATAAATTCATGGAGAAAGCACTGCCAATAAATGTAACATTGGTAAAACAGAAAATATAGAATAATTATTAGAACCTTATATAGTAACTGAAGCTGTCAGATATTAGAATCAGGATCGTGCTTGTAATAATTATGGCACTTAGTGGGATCACAATTCGCCATTTTATTTATTTATTTCGTTCTTTTTTTCGTTGTTTCTTTCATTGTTTCTTTGTTTCTTTCTTATTTTCAGTCATTCTTTCTTTCTCCTCCTAATTCATTTTTTTTTTTTCTTCCAATTTTGTTCTTTTTTTCTCTCATTTCATGATTTCTCTCGCTTTTTCTTTTTTTCCTATTTGTCTGTTTCTTTGTTTGTTTGTTTCATTCCTTATTTATTTATTTTGTTCTTTCTTTCGTTCTTTCTCTCTTTCCTTGGTTCGTTCTTTCTTTTTCTTTCTTTCTTCCTTTCGTTCTTTCTTTTTTTCTTTCTTTCTTTTTTTTTTATTTCTTTTTTGTTCTTTTTTTTCTTTTTCATTCTTTCTTTCTTTTTTTTTTTTCTTTTTGTTTGTTTCTTTTTATTTATTTCTTCTTTCTTTCTTCTTTCTCTCTCCTAATTCATTATTTTTTTCTTTTTTTTTCGTTTTCTTCCAATTGTGTTTCTTTTTCACTTAGTTCATGATTTCTTTCGCTTTATCTCTTCTTTCTTTCTTTCTTACTTTCTTTCTTTCTTTCTTTCTCTCTTTCTTACTTTCTTTCTTTCTTTCTTTCTTTCTTTCTTCTTCTAATTCGTTATTTTTCTTTTTTCCTTCCTATTTTCCTTTTCCTGGGTATGACGATAAACTACATCCAGCAGCAAAGCCTCTAATCGAAAAATTAGCGGTTTTGATGAATGGAGAACAAACTCTTAATTACTGTTGTTCTAACTTCTGACTCGGGAGTGTTAGGGCCCTATTTATAGGCAAATAATGAACCCCAATCATAAAGAAAACACTATGAAAATATAAAATATACTTTTATTGTAAAAATCCAAGCAATACATTTTTATATAAGAAGAATTATCAACAATACATTTTTGTAGAGAAATTGCCAACAGTATATATTTGTAGTAAAATTAACAATACATTTTTTATGCAAAATGACCTACAATACATTTTATAGTCGGTATAGTAGAATGAACATGAATAGATTTTATAGCAAAATGACCAATATTATATTTTTTCTGTACTTGAAGGCATACAAATGCGTGCAACAGCTATAAAATTGTGTTACGGCATTAAATAAGCTATAGATATTGATATGCCGTTAAACAAAAAACAAACTATTTTCTTTTTTTTCTTTCAATTCATTCTTTTTTTTCATTTTTCTCTCTTTTTTTCTTGTTTCATTCATTCTTTTCTACTAATTCATTTTTCTTTTTATTTATTTATTCCAATTGTTTTCTTTCATTTTTTTCTCAATTCATTTTTCTCTCGCTTCTTCGCTCTTTTTTCTTCTTTCTTTTTTGTTTTCATCTCTGTTGTGGTAGGATCCACCTAATTTGCATAGTGGAGTACCGACCATATAAATATGGTTGGTACCGGGAAGAGAGGGAGGAATCAAGAGATTCAACCAGAGACTCTGCCCGACTGCGACTCAGTCAACACATTCTCCAGGAACGGTCCTACTAGGAATATACAAAAGACTATATGTAAATATTGTGTACACTTTTCTTGTTTCAATACATTATCTTCTAAGTACATTTTGTGTTGCATTATTATTCCATGCATTAGTCAAGTTTCAACAATCTCCTAATTCATTATTCCTTTCTTTCTTTGTGAATTTAACATGTAAAATATTATTATGCATGTTATTTTTTCACTATAATTTTTAGAATAAAATAGTTATACTTATTTTGTTGATAATTGTTTGATAAACATTTGATTCAGATTCAGTATAATTTTAGAATAAAATAGTTGAAGAGAAGGACGGGGAATAGATCAAGGCGTCTGGAGATGTCTTATTTTGTTTGATTATATCTGTAATTTGCAGAAACATGAAGCTATTGATAACGGTGAATTGCCAGCCTAATTGCGTTGCAGTCTGGGAACTAGCGAAAATAGCTCGTCAGAGCATTACCGTGAAAATATTTGTAGAAAAAGACAGAGGGAGACGACGGCTCGTCCGTGAGGAGACCGACTGTAGACGAGATGCCAGATCAAGGCAAATTACATTACATATTTTCTGGATTTTTAGAACTTAAAACGAAAAGCAGGGGGCACCAGACCATATATGGCAATTTTATAGATTTGAAGGATTGACTCGGGCGAAAAAAAACTTTCAGTCATTTAACCATTAATTTTGATTTTCTTGTTTCAATTTAAGTCGTTTTAGCTTCCATAAGTCTTAATTAATATTGTTTCATATCCATCATTTCTATTGATTTTTGGTGAAACATTAACTTATTATTTTGAAGGGAATAGATAATATATTTTTAATATTTCTTTGATTTAGTATATAATATTATTATTTTTTTAAGCCTTTCACCCCAAACAAGGCGGGAGTGCCACTAGCACGCAAGGGGTTACAGAGATTGGGAGCAAGAGTAAAGAGGCGTGAAAGAGGAAAAGATGAAGAGAAGGACGGGGAATAGATCAAGGCGTCTGGAGATGTCGATTGATATTAGTTTTGAATAGTTGGAGATTATATCTATCAGGAAAACAACTAATAAGAAGGAAGTTGCGAAACATGAAGCTATTGAAGTAGAAGCGACGGCTACATTTAACTATTTCGACAGTGAAAGGGTGTGATCGAGATGCCAGCCTAATTGCACGTTGCAGTCTGGGAACTAGCGAAAATAGCTCGTCGGAGCAGTTACCGTGAAAATATTTGTAGAAAAGACAGAGGGAGACGACGGCTCGTCCGTGAGAGACCGACTGTAGACGAGATGCCAGATCAAGGCAAATTACATTACATATCCGTTTCTGGATTTTGCCGAAGAACTTAAAACGAAAAGCGGGGGCACCAGACCATATATGGCAGCAGTACTCCATGCAATGGCGAATTATTGATTTATAGATTTGAAGGATTGACTCGGGCGAAAAAAAACTTTCAGTCATTTAACCATTAATTTTGGTAACAATTTTCTTGTTTCAATTTAAGTCGTTTTATTGCTTCCAAGAAGTCTTAATTGCTGGAATATTGTTTCATATCCATCATTTCTATTAATTCATCACAACATATTGTTGGTGACCTATGTAGAGATTATGAACGACATTCCATTAACTTGTTATTTTTGAAGGAGAAATGTAACAGTGTATAGATAATATATTTTTAATATTTCTTTGATCTGAGGTCTACCAATCAATAATTCTCTGCATTTATATCTGCATCAATGTCAATTTATAAGGACCTGTCATTTTACAGTCTACATTGTCCTCAGAAAATTAGACAAGTCTTTTCAAATCTGTTTCTTCAATGGACTCATGTCCAGCCATATACTCATGTATTTTCTCTGCTTCTAATGGCAGGATGTAGCAGAAATATCACCCGACGTTTAAACTGTCACATTTGATAGTGCTGCTGAACTTAGGCACGTGGCAATGGTGTATTTATCTAGCTAATGCCTTACCATTTTTCTTCAGATACCGTCAGTTATCAAAACAGCTTGGACTGGTGCATAGTGTGCGTTTGTTGTTGAAACGTTATACAAATACTGGTGAATCTGTAAGAGTTTTTCCTACTCATTTCATTTAACGTTTGAAGGAAGTTGTTTCGGATGGAAAATCGATAATGCTACGGGTGAAAATTTTCAGGGTCACAGGTTCAGCTCTTAAAAGAAAGTCGCCTTGAAGACCTCGAAGTGCTCCAACTTCCGGGTGATAGAAAAGTTTTGAAATCGTCTACAACAGTGTATAGTGAATAGACACCAACGTTTTGTGAATATTGGTTATAGAAATGATATCCGCAAATCGATGGCTCTCCACGACATTCCGCCTTTTATACTTTTATTATTTCGAACTGTTGGATCAGGAGCGGCTAAACCGCGGCTCACGAGTCAAATGCGGCTCTTTGGCCTTTAATATGCGGCTCGTGGAAATATGTTAACTGAGCTCCTTTTCTCATCACATTTAATATAAAAGGTAAATAAAAAAAATGTCTCGCTTTATAATGATTTACTGGCTATGAATTGAGACCCCATTGGATTAAAACACAAGTTTAATTTTCATGGTTATTAAAATTATTTAAGAATTTAAATCCTAATTTTAATGCTAGATCTGTGTGAGTCATTGTTTTTTTAGTACTGAAGGAAGGGAAGGAATAGTGGAGGCAGAGGGGTTTAAGAAATATCCGGTCAACAAGGGTTAAAGAGGAAGGTCAGAAGATTAAGTTTATGGGTTAGGGGATTAAAAATTTGGTTTCTTAGAAGGAGTAAGACTGGTCACGTGTGTATGTAACAAAAACGTATGTGTTAATTTTGTTCATGACTTGCGGCTCTCAAACATCTTAACTTTATCGTATGTGGATCTTACGTTAAGCAAGTCAAGCAAGTTTGGCCAACACTGATATAGATGCTGTTATGAGATAAAACTTCCCCATGTGCACGTGCTTGATCCCACCACTTTAAACCTTTCTACCATATTCCGTCATCGTGGGAAGGACGAGTAAATACCAATCTTGAACGTCCCCGAGTTACCTTTCGTCGCCTTCTCGAGAAAATGTTTCCCTATTAACTTGACCCCTAAAAAGTAAAAACGAGATCTAATTTAGCCGTAAACATAAAGAAATAAGAACGTGACTAGAGTGTAATACAATAACAAAATTATAGTATACATCTTACTTAATGGTTGTAGAATATAAAAACGACCTGATAACTTCGATAGAGAGAAACAGAAGTAAAATGAAAGAAAGATTAAGAAAACTTATGTGAATTGTTGTTCTTATAAAGATTAGATTCCTTATTTTCGATGGCTGCCCGAAAATAAATAACATTGTCCATAGATTCAGTTGACGATGATTTGGAATGCATGACATTCTCAAGAGATCTGTCACAGAAGTCGACTTGTTTTCGCTTTCAGTTTAAATTAAATTCTCTGGCACATATTATACAAGAATCGTACAAGCTTCAAGAAAACCAATGTAAGAATCCGTGGAAATAAAAACTACTTTCTTAAATTGAAGGAACATTTAATAGCAACACCTGATTATCAATGAACCTCTTTGGGAATTGACAAGAGGAGAATCAATAAGGATGGAGACGCTTCTCTCGCTCCCATCTGCAAGTTTCCTATTCAATGGGAAAAAAAAGCAATTTTCTTACTTTACAAAATAGTGACTCAACAGAAAAGATTAGTGGGCGATGCAAACAGTAACTGGTCAAAGAAATTTGCTAAAGACAAAGCGAAGTGTTATCCTTAGACGTTGAATGTCAGTTAAATGAGAACTGACTTTTGTTCAGTGGCTTCTATGTTTACTCTGCCTCCACTTCACTCCGCCCTGTGAGTATCAAATTTTTCAAGCCTTCTTTCCTGATTATGTGCCCTAGAAATTTCAATTGTTTCTTTCTAGTGTTAAATATAAATTCGGTTTTCGGTTTTATTTTCTCTAAAACTTCGTCGTTAGCCACATGTTGCGTCTATGATATCCACGGCATTGTAGAACCACATTTCTGTTGCTTCAAGAAACTTCTTCATCTGGGAGGTGATTGTTCAGCATCCACTGCCATAAAGAAGGACTGATATAATGTAACCACACTTTTCTTTTTTTTTAACGTGCTCTTTTTCTGTTTCGTAATATTTTGCTTAGCTTT